GGATCTTGGACGCAAACCCAGCTTTCTGACACTGGGCCCTACAGTGCGACCCAAAATCCTTTGGTAATCCTCAGATTTCATGATGCCTTGCACACAGTCAAGGCACCCAGTGCCAGAGGCAGCAAAACAACCCCAAAACATCATTGAACCTCCACCATATTTTACCGTAGGTACTGTGTTTTGTTCTTTGTAGGCCTCATTCCGTTTTCGGTAAACAGTAGAATGATGTGCTTTACCGAAAAGCTCTATCTTGGTCTCATCTGTCCACAAGACGTTTTCCCAGAAGGCTTTTGGCTTACTCAAGTACATTTTGGCAACTGTAGTCTTGCTTTTTTATGTCTCTGTGTCAGCAGTGGGGTCCTCCTGGGTCTCCTGCCATAGCGTTTCATTTCATTTAAATGTCGACGGATAGTTCGCGCTGACACTGATGCTCCCTGAGCCTGCAGGACAGCTTGAATGTCTTTGGAACATGTTTGGGGCTGCTTATCCACCATCCGGACTATTCTGCGTTGCAATCTTTCATCAATTTTCCTCATCCGTCCACGACCAGGGAGATTAGCTACAGTGCCATGGGTTGCAAACTTCTTGATAATGTTGCGCACTGTGGACAAAGGCAAATCTAGTTCTCTGGAGATGGACTTGTAACCTTGAGATTGTTGATATTTTGCCACAATTTTGGTTCTCAGGTCCTCAGACAGTTCTCGTCTCCTCTTTCTGTTGTCCATGCTTAGTGTGGCACAGACAGACACACATGCAAAGGTTAAGTGAACGTCTCTCCTTTTTATCTGCTTTCAGGTGTGATTTCTATATTGCCCACACCTGTTACTTGCCCCAGGTGAGTTTACAGGAGCATCACATGCTTGTAACATTCTTATTTTATCCGCAGTTGTGAAAGGGTGCCAATACTTTTGTCCAGCCCATTTTTGGAGGTTTGTGTGACATTATGTCGAATTTGCTTTCTTTCCTCCCCCCCAATACACACAAAGGGAATAAACATGTGTATAGCAAAACATGTGTTAATGCAATACGTTTCGTGAGAAATACATGATTTCTGGAGAAATATCAAGGGTGCCAACAATTTCGGCCATGACTGTATAACTTATGAAGCGTGCTGATTGAAGGTAAAAGCACAGACGTTGCCTCATCATTGAAAATCTATTTCTTCTACTTTGTATTACCCAAAGATGACACCGAGCTGTATGCAGAGTAATAAGACATTCATGAGCATAACGTAAGACAAGTGAAATAGCCCTTTATTGTACATGCAGTACATTTTGTGTAATGTAAATGAGGTGTTTAATTTTAGTCATCCTCCTGACGAAACTGCAATGAAATGCTGCGAGGCTGTTGTAGTAATCTCAAAAATATTAAAGGACAACTGCATTTCTACAATTACTCTTTTAAATGATTCCCCCTCTTCCATCCCCAAAGGTCTTACGCTTAGCTGTCCACACTGTGTGTCCCTCGAGGAGCTAATGCTGAAAACTCTCACGATCAGTCCCATAGTCTTATAAGAGCGAACAGGCAAAATCCTGGTCCAAAGTTTCAGTCAGACAAATTGTGCCTCAAAGCAAGCAGCTGTGCTGGGCTGTCTTTGGATGGCCCATAGTGCTCTGCGAATCCTTTCTCATGTATTGAATATGTATTTGGAAAAATATATTTTTTCTATTATTACCCCCCCCCCACACACACACACACGCTTCCTAAAGTCTTATACTCCCCTGTCCAGGGTCCTGCCAGGTTCATATCCTATTTGTTCCAATGAAGAGGGCACAAATCCTGTGCCCCAGTGATAGATGTCCTCTCTATATATAAATTAATAGGTTTTGTCCAAGCATGTGCAGAAGACTTCAGAACCTCCCTGGAGCGTTGTAGCAGGCTGCGCAGCTTGGATTTCAGAAGATTGTGGACAGATCAGTATATAAGGCCAGGGGGGTGGGGAATCATATATACTTATACTTTATAGTCCAACACCAACCAAAACTCACTGGGGAGTTTTCTCACATTTCGAATCACCAGGACAGGTGAGTAAGAAAATCTCCCCAGGATGCAAAGAGCCTACACATAAACCTGATAAAACCTTCTAACTCTTTCTACTCCGTCCAAAAATTGTGTTTATAGAATTAATTCATATACTACCATTTGTGTTTGTGTTTTTTTTTTATGAATGTTCCAGGCCTTAGTATATCTTTTAAAGTTCAGGATTGCTGAGCTTGGAGCATGTAGGCTCTAAAAGTTCTTGTTAAATCTGAACTTTAATTCAAATATATTCTGCAATATCCACAAATATAACATTATTGTGAAGTCATACAAAACTTTATATTGTATAATAAAAATCATAATATTCAGACAGTTTTAGGCACGTCGTTTACTACCTGGCTGAATATTATAATTTTTTGATATAATATAACTTTTTGAATGACTTCACTATCTTTTCTTTTCACGGTAGTCAGCTTAGAGATGTATTAATGGTCTTGGGTGTCAAATACGTGTCAATTATAACAAATCACACCGGAAGTTGCATCTAATGTGTTTCTATGGCACGGACTTAATCAATGCAATCAAACATAATTCCTGCATTACTTTTTTTTCAGATTTCATTGCAATAACTTCTGTTAAATGAAGTTGCAAGCTGCAGTGAAATCGGAGGTACAAACTGATCTGCAGCTTTGAAATTGCGCTGCTTCAAGTGAAGTAGTACGATTTCAAAGTTGCATTTTCTGTGAACCAGGGCTAATCGTTTAATCCTAATATATCATTTATTTTAACACTCCACCTAATATACCTCTGTAGCTTTTGGGTTTAAAAGAACTCAACTTTGGAAAGGAATGGATGTTACAAGGAAGTCTTTTTTTTTTTTTTCTATAGTGTCTACGTGATGCTTTCAGCTTGCAGTGTTTGTACACAATCCTGTCACATTACAGACGTCAAGATGTGGGAGAACACAACCTACTTTCTTGCAGATGCTGTATAGAGAACAATATATTTCCATAGCTGATCTTCCATGCAGGCCAGTCATCATGTGAATAGACATGTTCTAGACATAGAAAGTCATTATCCCATCTTGAGTCTGTAAAAAAGGAGGGCGCTGCCTATTATTATACTACAATTCCCCGGGTAAATAATGTGCTTAGTTACATTAATTACATTTTATATGATGTTGGCAGCTGAACCTTTTTTGCAGTGCTGTTATTCAGCTACTATAGCCTTTTCTTCCTGATCACTGTCAAAGGCAACCAGTAGTAAGTGTGACTTCCATATACATATACATTGTTTTTCTACACAAACCACAGCTTGTCATTAATATGAGATGGCAATTATACATTAGGTGTATTATTATCCTCTAAATACATGTTTAAATAAATGTTTGAGTTGCATTGTGACACTCAAGTGACAGTATACTGCAATTAAGCTGATAGTTGAAAGGAGAGCTGTACTTTCACCTCCAGTGGGCTTGGGGAATTTTAGGCTCATTTCACTGGGAAACAAAAGGGAGGATATGATTTAAATGTAATACATCAGCCTATAAGCCAGTTAGTTAATCTTGAGTGTGCAAGAGGTTAAAAAAATTATTTTGAATTGGGAGCATGTGAAAAAGTAAAAAAAATATATAGGTAAGTAATATAAGTATAGTAAGTAAATGAGACACGTGTGTGTGTGTGTATGTATATATGTGTGTGTATGTATGTGTGTATATATATATATGTGTGTATATGTGTATACACATACTGATTTAGTTTAATATTTATCAGCCTATAGTATGATTATAAAAACATTCATAACAAAGTAGTACTTAAGACTTAATGCTTCTTTTTGTTTTAAGTGTTACTAAACCCACAACAGTAAAATCAGTCTGTATATGCACTAAAGCATGCTTGTTATACTCACTCTGGAACCTGACAGGTTAATCGTCCGCATTGTGTGATGAGGATGTTTGATCAGTGCCAGTCAGTGAAAAAATAAACCCAGAGGTGATTAAATACCACCAAAATAAAGCTCTATCTGTCACAAAAAAAGATAAAAATTTCATATGGATACAGTGTTGCATGATCGCGCAATTGTCATTCAAAGTGCCACAGCGCTGAAAGCTGGAAATTAGCCTGGACAGGAAGGGGGTGTAAGTGTCCTGTAGGCTAAGTTCACCTTTTGCAAAAAATAATAAATACACATATATTTAAAATGGAATGTATTGTTTATTTTTTTGCATATGAGCCTGAAAATAAATGGCACAACTTTATGGACAGAGCCCTAAATATGGGTGTAATATTGTCCAAAATGTTGAGTTCGCGTTTACAAAATAAGGACAATATCACTTTAAAAAAAATTTAGATATTTTTTACCTTTATTTTTTTGTTTAATGAAAAAAGTACAAATAAGTGTAAGATTGTGGAATAGTATGACCTAGAGATGGTATATTAATAGATAGTACAATATAGTGTACAGGTCATGCAGGAAAAGTCTCACATGAAACAGCCATAACAACTGAGAAACTAGAAATGTCAAAAAAGAACAAATAAGATGTTTAATCTCTCAGTTACCTGAATACATTTTGTTGGCTGTCACTTAATTTGCAACACAGAGCACTTTAATGCTGGGTGATTTTATTTTGAATCCAATGAAAGATAAGAAATATTCAAAGGTATAATCTCTCCACCAACCCGATAAAGCTGAGAAAACCTCATGTGTTTTCTTGTCATGTCAGTACATTGTGTATGGAAGTAGACAGCCTAGGCACAGAATAGAAAGCCTGAATTCTGCCCCCTAGTGTTAACATTTTGGTGAAATGAGCAGAGCCTGAAGCGGTAACGGTTACGGTAGTTTGTGGTATGATCAAGCATCCTTAGAAATACGGTCTCCACCTCTGATATAGCCCATATGATCCTAGTTCACTTTGTAAATATACGATCATAAACAGTAGTACATTGCTCAGTTGTATGCCTGATGACGGTAGAAATAAAAGAAAGCAAAGGCAATAGGAATCCCTTATTAGAGATTGTCTGCTCTATAATAGGATACAGTAGTGTGAATAGTCTATTATATTTAAGCAAATTTCAGTATGCAAACCACATGCAGTACAGCTCTCTCCTGCATTGTATGCACATTTCATAATAAAGTGCTTCTTCAAACCTAAAGCCTAGTACACATGATGAGAAAATCAGGCATTTCATGCAAAATTATCTAAAGCAGTGTTTCTCCACCTTTTTTTTTTAGTCAAGGCACCCTTTAAAATTATGGCCAGTCCCGAGGCACCCTTTAAAACTATGGACCGCCCCGAGGCACCCTTTAAAATTATGGCCAGTCCCGAGGCATCCTTTAAAAGTATGGACAGTCCCGAGGCACCTTTAAAATTATGGCCAGTTCCGAGGCACCCTTTAAAATTATGGCTAGTTCCGAGGCACCCTTTAAAATTATGGACAGTCCCAAGGCACCCTTTAGAATTATGGACAGTCCCGAGGCACCCTTTAAAATTATGGACAGTCCTGAGGCACCCTTTAAAATTATGGGCAGTCCTGAGGCTCCCTTTAAAATTATGGACTGTCCTGAGGCACCCTTTAAAATTATGGACAGTCTTGAGGCACCCCATTCTAAAATGTGAAAAACTATTCTAACAGTTATATATAATGCAGCAACCTCCACACACATAGCACACCCAACATTAGAGGTGATTTATTCACCCTCAGTTTTTCTCCATCACTGAGCTAATGTGACCCCAGCACTGATGGAGAGGGGCAGGGGAGGGTAAAACTAGGATGCTGTGCAGGCAGCTGTCATCCTCCTTATCAATTGATGATGTCATTGGTTGTCGGGATGCCGCCGGCTAGAAGGTCGTAATGGTGCACAATGATAACCTGTGACTTTGTGTAACTAAAAGTTAGGCTTGTTCCACCCACTGGCTTGTATACAAGTTTTGGAAAATTTTTGGACATTCTGCCAAGGCACCCCTGAAGAAACCTCAAGGCACCCTGGTTGAGAGGCTGATCTAAAGGAACAAGCACAAAAAAATGTTCTCGGAAGATAACAGAACAAATTATTTTAGTTTTAATCAGTACAGTATTCATAAAAAATTGAGTAACCAAGACCCCCACATGCTCCGAAACTAAAGAATACCATACAATATATTACATCATCGTAGGAAGCTCTAATCTGTCTTACGAGTATTTTCGTAACTCTAGCAAAAGATTCATTCTTGATATGAGACTAACATCCAAAAAAAAAAAAAAATGGATGATCATTCGTCCGATATTCTCATTGTGTGTACTATGCATTAGGGAAGGTGGGGGGTGGGACTCTGTAGTCCAACAAGACTGAAAACACTGCTTGGGATCTCAGTGCAGCAAGGGCACTGTGTTGTCTGTTTCCTAAAGGCAGATAGCTCGCTGGAATTCACAAGTATATTTCTGTGTTAGCAGCATTTTTAAAGGAGCACAAGATGAGTGGAAATGTGCATGTACTTTAGCAATGTACTGAATTTTATTTTTTATTGTGCCCAGATATACACTTTCATAGACTATATTTAGTATTTTTTCCATTCTAATTGAATGTTGGGGAAAATTGAGCATCTGTGTAAATGTTTGTACTTGTGAAGTTATCGGACATGGACTTTAGAAGGACATTCAGGTGTGCAGAGGCCGTTTTCGGGCCTTTGAGCATAAATATCCATGTTGGAGTTTACCAAAGCACTCCTATTTAAATATATGGAGTGGGATGGAGTAAACCGTAGTAGTTGAACAAGGTTTTGACTTATTTGATGTTTCCTGATGAGACTAGTCATCCTTGTGTTTCTGCTAATGACTCAAAAATGGCTGCTGCCCCAGTCTATAACTGGCCTTCACAGCAAGGGGCCCACCGAAGGGTGACGCATATCAAACAACAAAAAAGAAAAATTCCAGGCTCAACTTGCCAGCCAGCCTGCAAACAAGTCGAATTAACCTTCCTAACAGCATGCGTTAACAACAGGGGTTTAGTTAGCACATATTTGCAAATACATGCATAAGCTACAGAGCCTCCTCATGGCACCCTGATGTTCTGTAATTCCTAATTCTACAAACTTTTGAGAGTGCCCATAGTAGAGGCACATGTATTTAATGGATAGACCAAGGGCAGGTGGACCTGAGGGAGCCCAACCCTCCATAAAGGTATAGGAGCTCATTGGACACCCAGCATGTAGCAAAATGGCAGCTAAGGTGTCCAGTGCGCCCCCTCACCAACAATTCAGCAGGACAAAAAATGGCCGCTGCCCCAATCTAAAACTGGCCTTCACAGCAAGGAGCCCACGGAAGGGCAACACATGTCAACTGTCCGCTAATGACCAAAGACTGAAAATTGTCAGCCAGTTTAGCCAAAGTTGTCTACAGCAGGCGACAGTCGTGTTTTTGGCCAGCTTTAGTTGATTTGACTCCTTTTTAGAATGGCATTTAACCATGGTATGTGAATAGTGGTGGTAATAATGATAATAATATCAGGGGTTTTTATTTAACATATTTTACTGACTTCATTGATCTTCTCTCTTTCCTAGGCCATAGGGAATGCAAAGACTACTAGAAATGATAACAGCAGTCGCTTTGGAAAGTACATAGAAATTGGATTTGATAAGAGGTTTCGGATTATTGGTGCTCACATGAGGACATATTTACTAGAGAAATCTCGTGTGGTTTTTCAAGTAAGTACACCTTTGGGACATTAAAGAAAGTGGCCTTGTCATAGCTTTGATTTTTATTTGTTTACAGTGCAATGCAAAGAATGACTCTAATAAGAATAAAGCTCTGTTGGCCTACTTACCAAAGTCAATATAAACATGTTGCCTGTATAGTAAATTCAGTTTAAGCCCAGTACAAACCAGCTAACTTTTGGTACATGTGTACCGCTCTCTGTTCAACAGAAGCCAGTCTAAAGACCAGATTCGTTTGAATGGTCTTGCTGAAGAACCAGCATTTGATCAGTGCTTTCAGCCAATGGCTGGAGAGCACTCTCATTCATTGATTCTTCCTGCAATTCAGTAACTGTCTGCCCATACAGCTGTACTGAGTGCCTGCAGGATCCTGGCATTGCTCCCACATTCTGCTTATCATGGGTGCAATGCCTTACAGTAGGGGTGTTCAACCTTTTGAAGAGCGAGGGCCACTTAAAGTAGGGCTCCCCCCCATTCATAGATACCTAGCTGCATCTGTCCCCCATCAGCTCTAAGGGTTAGACCTCGGCAATCACAATCGCTGAGTTCTCTTCGCTCTGAGCAGAGAGCAGTGACTTCTGTCTGCTCTGCCCCCCCCCAGCTCTCACTGGAGCACTGGGCTGTGGAGGGGGTGGGAGCGGCTGGCTCAGGGTCTCAGCGGATCACTGAGAGGCTGACCCAGGTGTTGCTCCAGACTCTGGGGTGTATGTAGACTTTGAAGTCAAGATCTTTCCCCAGCCTGGACTGGCTGAGTGACTGCAAAACAAAGTGATTTGGTAATCAGTCACGGGCCCAATGAAATGATTCAGAATTTCGAATTTTTTATTTTGAATAGCATAATGAACTTTTTTTCCTCCTGCAGCCTCTGAATGCCAGCAGGAGGGAGTGGAGGAGAAGCCAGCTTTTAACGGTTGCAGGAGGAAAATGGAGAGGATTGGTTCCTATATAAGCTCCTCCCACCACCCCTCCTGTCCAGTTATAAAAGAGAATGTGACAGAGAGGCCTCACAGGCCCCCTGTGGCATGGGGCAGAATCACCATTGTGTCCCCTGACACTACAACAGTGGTTTGGGGGGATGAGGGTGTGTAGTAAAAACACATTTCAACTATGGGGTTTTACTGCCCCCCCCAACCGCAAATATAAACAAGCCCTTATTGTCCTGAGCCCCCTCTAAGGCTGCTTTCACACTGATGTGCTGCAGTTTACCCATAACATAGGCGCAGCACAGTGCAGTTGCGGCTTTCCTGCAGGTTAGCTGCAATTTTCCATAGACTTCTATTATATCTTGTGGGTGCAGTGCACTTTCTGAAAGCGCACCAAACCTGTAGGATATAGTAGACATACACTTCTCTGGTTTGAGCTTGAGGGGCAATTCAGAGGGCTCTGAGGGCCACAGGTGGAGCATCCCAGCCTTACAGGCTGCAGAGTTAAAATAAATAAATAAATGCACATTTTATTAACCTGCAAGAATGTGCAATTAATATTTAAAAAAAATAGATGAACTTTGCCCTTAATATTACATCCTATCCCACACCGATAGGCATTGTCACTCTCACAGTAGGGCAGTAGTTAGAAATTCCAGAAGGAAGGGATCACGGGTAATTTATCATATATTTTATGCCCCTATGTCTGTTGAAGCTTTCTATAGAGCGTTCTTTTTAGTGAAATCCTGCCCATGGTAGGAAAGAAGTCCTGGCCATTGAGTAATAAAGAAGAATCTTCACTAGCACATGTCAAAGGATTCATTTCTCAAGGTAGGTCTGTGTTCTGCGACGGCTGGTATTGCCGACTTGCGCTGACTGTTGTGTTATCTGAATACAGGACGAGACTATCACTATACCAAGGTTCACTGTTGAAGATTTCTATTTTGTTATTATTGTATGTTGGCACCATTCACCTTGTGTGAGCTTGTAAGGGGTTGGACCGATGCAATAAAACTTCTCTTGTATGGATCGTTATTTGGCCTGTTCAGCAGGAACCAGACGAATGTTGATCCATGTATGGGCATCCTGATTGTACAGAAGTCAATCTATTAATCGATTTCTGTACAACCACCCTACTGTTTTTTTTCTGTATGATCAGTGCTGCCCTTATAGTCAGAAATACTACTACTGGGGAAGGCTCCCCGCAGTGAGAACATAGTAGCACAGCGGGAGTGATTCCCCCCATGCACCTCAAAATAGTGAATGGGGGAATCTTCATTTTTTTTTTAGTTCAATCCACCAGTTAAACAAAAAAAAATATGTATATTATATGGCCTGCCTTATGTTCTTGAGTAAGTCTCCCAAGATCAATCCTGACATTGTTCTTGGCTATGCCAGGTCCCACATTTACCAGAATGGCCACTTCTTGTCAGTACAAAGCTCAGTTTTGTGAGTTACACAAATGTAAATACAGGTTGATACGACCTCTGAAAGTTGAATTGGTCAGAGGCTACAAAAAATTTTCAAACTTTTTCAAAATTAAATGTTAAGCAGGGAAAGAAAATAGTACATAAAGTATTTTATACTTTTCTTTCAAAACAATTTGGTGGCGTGGTGCAAGACAGCATTTTGATACACTCACTTTAAAAATAAAGCTGATCCCAAAGCACAAGTATATCAAGGTATTGAGAACTCAGTGGTATGATGTTTCAAATTCTGCATCCAAGTGCTGATTCAGTCTGAATGTATTGCTTAGCACATGTACAGTTTCTTTATGAGATTTAATGCTTGCTAAGGCTGCTTCAA